CAGCAGACCCCTCCTGTCTCCCTGCTGCTCCTTCAGCAGGGTGTCTCAGTGGATCTGCCTGCTCTGCTGTGCCCCCCACTCTGTCTGGGGAGTCCTCTCACCCCCGCAACTCTGGCCTGATCCCAATTTCTTTAAAAAAAAAAAAAGTAAAGTTCTTTGACTGGAGGTCATACACTCTGTAGTGTTTTATGTCAGGGCGGGTGGCAGGACCTGTTTAGAAAAGGCAGCTTGAGGGGCCCAGCGGCCCCGCCAGTGTCTGCTAACAGTACTTGGTTCTTCCATGACATATACACGATGTTTAATCATTGCTACCCAAAAAGTTTATCGAGAAAGGAGACTTTTCCCTCAAAAAAAAAGAGCAAAAACAGGCTGTAGAGGTTTCTCTGAGGAATTGCCAGCTGTGCCTTCTGCCTGTTCCATAGGACCTGTGAGCTAAGAATCATTTTCCTGTTTTTAAATGGCAAAAAACCCCTCAAGAAGATTTTAAGGCATGAAAATTGTGTGAAGTTCAGGCTTCCGAGTCAGTGCAGAAGGTCTCACTGAAAGAGCCGGGCCTGGCCCTCGCTGGCTCTCAGGCTGCCCCTCCTGCCTCAGCAGAGACGGGTGGCCCCCGCCTACACACGGTCACCTCACTGGCGGACATGCGCTGGGCAGGGAGAACGCCGACCAGAGCGGCCGGCTGCTCTCTGATGCCGCCCCCTGTGACAGACAGACACGCCGTCACAGACGCCTGGCTGGCCAGGGCCCGGCCTCCCCTCACAGGCCTCAGCCCCTGCACCAGTGGGAGCGGCCCCTGCAGCGCCCACCAGCTGAGACTGGGCGTGAGCTGTGGCCTCCAGGCGTGAGGCACGGACAGGGGTGCAGCCCACCTCATCTGGGAAGAGGCGGGAGAGGGTCGTCCTGGGTATTTCTTAAGCCACCATGCGTCCCACCACCAGGAGGCTGGAGGCCAGAGGTCCCCACGCCCTCTCGTCAGCCGCTGGTGGTGATCATATTGGCAACTTCACGAGGAAAACCTGGGGTAGTCACTGAACCCACCAAAACAGGGCTAACTGCTGTCGTGGGTACCCGACCCCTCTGGGTGCCTCTGCTGCTCCCCCGTCTCCCCAGCTCCAGCCGCCTCTCCCCACGCTGAGCACCTGCAGGCCCAGCCCCCAGGTCTTTGTTCGGGGTCCACTTCCAGGACCCCGGGAAAGCTCGCTCCCAGGGTAAAGCTGTCTCACTGGGGGCTCCCAGATGCGCCCACCAGTCCACTCCCTGAGCTGCGCGCTGCCCGGGCGGAGCTCACGTCATCACACAGCTGTCAGGGCTCGGCGAAGTCTTCTCTGCGTTTTAGTGGGCTGCAGGGAATGCAGTGTCTGCGGCCGCGTCTCCAGATGTGGGATTAAGAGCCACCCCATCTGCAGAGTGGCACTGCAGTAAGAGTGACTTTTCCGAGTAAGGGGTTTCGTCTGCCCCGCAGGTGTGGCTTGGGTCTTGGGGCGCGCAGGGTCTGCTTCTCGTGACTGACTCCGGGATGTGGCTTTTTGGATCTGCCTGTGCTCACTCCTGGCGCCACCGGCGCTTCTTCCCGCCGCGGTGCTGTCCTGCCTGAGTCCTGGCGCCGGCCGCCTTCCAGTTTCCAGGCCTCGCGTGCCTGCGGGCCGGGCCGGGCCGGGCCTGAGCTCGGGAGCCGTGAGGTGGATCCGTTTGGCCTCTGGAGTTTGCCGTCTCTTTGGCACTTGTCTTCGGGGCGCCGCCGGTGTGCACGGGCCTCTGCGGCCCTGCCCTTGATGGGGTGCTGCCTCCACCCCGGCCCGCACGCTCACGGCCGTCGCTCTGCCCCAGGGCACCATCAGCGTGGGCATCGATGCCACTGACCTCTTTGACCGCTACGAGGAGGAGTACGAAGACGCGTCCGGAAGCGGCCTTCCGCAGGTCGAGATCAACAAGATGCACATCTCCCAGTCCATTGAGGTGAGGGCGCTGCCGGGGTGCGGGCGCTCGGGCTCGCCTCATCTTTATTTATGAAGCGCCGCAGTCAACCTTGATCATGACGGCTGGCCAACATGCCCAGCCTCAGGCCCACACCCAGGTCGGGTGTTTGCGGAAGAAGGCAGGCCACAGGGCTAACGCCGCGGCCCCTGGGTGGGCGGCGGGGCCTGGCCCTGCAGAGGTGACTGTCCAGAGAGGCGCTGCTGCTGTTCTCAGACACGTCAGCGGACACCTGACAGCCTGCCTGGGGGGAACTCGCCCTCCGTGTGCCTGTGGCATCTGTAGGGCTGTGGGGGGCCATCGGGTCCCTCCCTGAGGCCTGTGGCAAGAAAGGGCAGGGAGGCCCAGGCGACCCTGTGCAGGCGGCGCCATGGTACCCTGGTGCCAGTGTGCTTGTGATGGCAGTGTTGGGGCTGGGCCGGGGCCTCGGGCTGCCAGCACGCGCCACGCTGCTCTCCTGTGCCCCGACACCCTGGTCAGCAGCACGTGTCATTTCCAGGCGCCTCTGACAGCTACAGACACAGCCATCCTCTCTGGAAGCCTGTCGACCCAGAACGGGAACGGAGGAGGCTCCATCAACTTCGCACTCAGGAGGGTCACTTCTGCGAAGGGGTGGGGAGAGGTGAGTGCTGCCTGGCCACCCGGCCTCCACTCCGGACACTGGCAGTCTGGAGGCTGACCCTCCCTAGGATCCGCCCCTAGGGACCGCCAGGCGCCCAGCTCAGTTAGGGCGGGGCGAGGGTCCTGCAGATGCCAGCTTCCGGAAGCTGGACATCCCGAAACTCAGCTGTTTGTCCCCTTTAAGCAAGAACCTGTAGGCTTTTTCCTTCTCTGCACAATTGAGAAGGCGATGCCGGAGTGGGGGTGCTGTGGGCCAGCGATTGGAGAGCATTTAGCAGCCCGTTCTGCTGAGCAGATGGAGCTGTGACAAATTAACATTGCAGAGTTGCCTTGAAAGTCACCCAGACGGTAAATGAGGGGTCGGGGCGGCTGACTTCAAGCCTGAGTGCAGAACTGCTGAGGGGTTTCCCGCAGGCCCCGGAGAACCGTCTCCTGTCGCCTGGGAGGCTGGGCGGGAGGGGCGCCACCGCTTCCCCCGGGCACTGAGAGGCCTCTGCGCTGACCCAAGCCGGGGGCAAGCCACGTGGTCGCCCGCGGACCCGGGAGCATTCCTGTGCCCTCGGCAAAGCCCGGCTGGGACCCGAGAATCCTCACTCTGCGCTTGTAGAGGCCAGCCCAGGCTGGTGGCCTGAGTCGGTGACGAGTCGCCCTGAAGAACTTGGCCGAGGCTCGGGCCGTGCACGGTAAAGCACTGGTAATACTTCTTCTTGTTCTTTTTTGAACAGTTAGAATTTGGAGCTGGGGACCTGCAGGGCCCTTTGTTTGGCCTCAAGCTGTTCCGGAATCTCACGCCAAGATGGTAAATAAGAAGAGCTAAGTCCTCTCTGACCGTCTCTGTGGGGGGGAGCGTAAACCCTGTGCTTCTTTCGGTCAAGGTCATCTCGAGGTGCTGGCCTGCCCCAGTTCACTGAGCACTGGCCAGCCCTGCCTCTTGCCTCCCCAGCCAGAGCTGTGCTCTGTGGGCTGCGGGGCCCCCTGGGTGGGGGCCCCCCGAAATGCCGGTGAACTCTGGGTGGTCTTGTCCCAGCAAAAAGCGTGTCCAAGCTCTAGAAGGGACGCGGATCGGCAGAGAGGAGGCCGGTCGAGAGAGGCCGGCCTTCAGATAGGGCCCAGTGCTGCAGCCGAGCCTGCCCCGTCCATGCTGTGGACAGGACGCTGTGGCTGGGAAATGCCAGGCTCGGCCGCGCAGAGGCCGGGGGTCGAAACCTTCCTGTGAGCTTCCTGACGAGCTGTCAGCAGGCCTGGCAGGGGCAGCGCAATGTGCCCCCGCGCGTCCTGGCACCTGTCTGCCTGGCAGCAGAGGTAGACAGACAGCTGGTTGTCAGCGAGCGCTTTTGTCCCCGGCTGACCACTTCTGGGAGCTCTGTGGCTCCCGTCCGCTCCCGCCACGCTGGCATCTGGTCTCGGCACTGCATTCCTGGCGGCTCAGGCTCTGGCGGCAGAGGCACCATCCCAGGCGCTTCCGGGGCTGGGGTGCTCACCACAGGTCACAGGTCAAAGTGCACGTGTGCAGATTGTGACCTGTGCCGCTGCCTCGGCTCCCGGGCCCTCTGGGCCCCCCTGGACCTGCCTGGAGCACACAGCCTGGCACCGGTGCCTGCCCCTCCCCGGCGACGGGAGGGGCCGCGTGGCTGCCATGTCCTGGCCGGGTCCATCTGTTGAGCGGACACCAGCCCCGGGGCTGGCTGGACACCGGCCTCTGCGGGTCTGCTGGCTGAGTTTTGTCAGTGCCCAGAGCGGGTCGGCGCTGAGACGTGGGCCTCTGGCCAGCCCGCCGGCTGGCTGAGCAGTCAGCTCTGAGGCCCATGCAGACTGGTGACCCGAGGGCCAGCCGGCTGCTGAGCAGAGGACGCAGGCACTGTTCCCGGCGGCCCCTGCCTGGCCCAGCTCCGCCGGCCTGCGTCTTCCTGCTCTCCGGTGAACGGGTCTCGCCCCTCACGTCGCGTTGTTGTAAACGGCAGTCTGGAACAGTCTGGGGACTTGGGGTGACATTCAGCTCTTCCTGCTTGCTCCCGGCCCCATGTGGCTCAGAGAAAAATGCACCGGCCAGTGTCAGAGTTGCTGAGAGCAGGCTCCTTTGGGAAGTGCTGGAAATGCGCAGGGCCCGTGTTGTGTGACGCGAAGGCCGGGCTTGGGAAGGAAGGAGAGGACGACCCTGATCCCTGATGTAGTGAGGCCCACTGGGCTGCTGGCCGGGCGCCTGTTGGCTCACCTCCGCCTCCTGGAGAGCCGCGGGCAGTTTTGTCGCTGGGGTGAAATGCCCCTCGTGGCCGGAAGGTGGCGCTGACTCCCTGGGAAACCAGCCCTAGCTGCCGGGTGCCCGTTTCCTGGGTTGGCATCTTGGGCTTCAGTGCCAGACCCGCTGGGCAGGCTCAAGAACATGCTGCTGCCTGGGCCCCGCCCTGAAGCCCACCCAAGGGTCTGGCGGGCCTGTGCGCGCCCCAGAAACTGCAGCCTCGGGGCCACCCCTAGCAGGCCTGTCCGCGTTGGGTCCGCTGGGTGGGCCGCACCGTGGGCCCTGGAGCCCCGGGGGTTCTGACCTACTCTGGGATTGGCTCCCCACTTGGGCATGGGGCTCAGGACACCTCCTGGCCGCAGCCAAGTTAGGATGGGGGTGCCGGGAAAGACCCCCCGAGCCCCTGCATCGGGAACCTGGTCTCCCTGCGGGGAGCTGAACCGCCGTCACCCAGGACCTCTCCGTCTGTGCCCCCAGCTTTGTGACGACACACTGTGCCCTGCAGTTTTCGTCCCGCGGCGTCCGGCCCGGCCTCACCACCGTGCTCGCCCGGAACCTGGACAAGAACACAGTGGGCTACCTGCAGTGGCGCTGGGGCATCCAGTCGGCCATGAACACCAGCATCGTCCGCGACACCAAGACCAGCCACTTCACCGCGGCCCTGCAGGTGGGCCCCGCACTGCCCCAGCCGTCTGCGGGCGCAGCCACCGCCCGCCCCGGCCCTGTGTGTCCTGGGGCACAGCCGCTGGGCGCTCTTTCCCGGCTGAAGTCCTGCTGACAGGCAGATCCCACGTGCGAGGCGCAGCCACCAGGAGCCCTGCGCGGAGGCCCGGCCACCTCCCAGGGCTCGGACTAGTCCGCCCCCTGCCCTGTCTCCTCAGCTTGGGATCCCTCACTCCTTCGCCCTCATCAGCTATCAGCACAAGTTCCAGGACGACGAGCAGACCCGCGTGAAGGGCTCTCTCAAGTACGTGCGGGCCGCCCGCAGGAGCGCCTGTGGCAGGCTGAGTCCCGGGGGGGGCTGAGCCTTGGTGTCCCCGTGTCCCCCTGGAGAGGGGAGGGCCTGCGGCGGGGCGCTGCCACCTGCGGCTCAGTGCCCGCTCCCTGCCCCCAGGGCGGGTTTCTTCGGGACGGTGGTGGAGTACGGAGCGGAGCGCAAGATCTCCAGACACAGCGTCTTGGGCGCGGCCGTCAGCGTCGGAGTCCCACAGGGCGTTTCCCTCAAAGTCAAGTAAGTTGACCAGCCGTGGGGGTGCGGGGGGGGGCAGGCAGGGGCCAGGCACTCCGCGGCCCGGGTCAGCGAGGTCGGGTCTGTGTTTAGGGGGCTCGGCTCACTGCCCACCGGCGGCTGGTGCCCACCGCCCTCCCTCGGGGCCCGCTGGCCCCTCTGCTCCAGCTTCCCAGGCTTGTTCTGCTTTCACCTGGCTGGCAGGTGGCTTCTGAATGGTGGCGTCTCTCAAAGGCCAGGGCCTCTGTCCAGCTCGCTCCCCGGGGCATTCAGGACCCTCTTGCCTTGGTGACCTCATGCTATAGCTCTGCCCCGCCTGACCTTTAGCTCCTGTGTCCAGCTCCCCTCCCGAATCTTCCCTCGGTCTCTAACAGCATCCCAGGCGCTGCGTCCACCCCGCCCCCCTCGCTGCTCCCCCGCAGCCTCTGCCAGTCCTTCAGGAGCCTCATGTCCCCGAGGCCCCCAGCCCCAGGCTGGCAGCCAGCTTGTCGGGGAGCGAACAGGACGTCTCTGCAGCAGGCGGCGTGCCGGCAGCGTCACCAGGGCACCTGGCCGACAGACGCACCCGGTGGGGGACGGGCTGCGCTGTCGAGAAGGGGTGCCCAGGGCTCACGACTGCCGCCCACTTCCTTCCTCGGCCACACCGGGGCCTGTGGCTTCCCTCTAGGAGCCCGCTGAGTCTCTCACCGACGGAGCGCGGCGCCTGGCGCCCACGGGGTCCCTGCTGGGGACGGCCGGGTGGGCCTGCCGCTCTCCCTGTGGTGTCTCTGTCCTCTAGCCGTCGCCTCTGCGGCCTGAGCGCTCATCACGCTTAACTTGCCGCTTCCGTTTTCTGCCCACGCCTCGCCGGCCTCCTCGCGGCCGTTCCGAGGGTGCGCTGCAGACAGGCGCCCGGCGCCACCTGCCAGTGTGCTGCTTGTTCGCGTGGAACAAGGCCCCCCCCTCCAGGGCTGGGAGTCATCCCAGCGGCGCCCCTCAGCCTGTGGTGAGCGTTTGTCCCGTGTGGTAAAGACGCGTGCTGCGTTCGGCCCGCTCTCCGGCGCGCCTGCCTGTCCTGGCTCCTTTCTGAAACTCGGAGTGTCCTGTGGGACCAGGCCTCCGCCCCACGCTCTGGCTCGCACTTGCC